GGTGTTATTATATCCTTATATTGCCCGGAAGTACAATTAATAAATTCTTGGTATTTGAATTCAAGAGTAGGACACTACCTTAAGTTATTAAGGCCAATTATTTATTTTTCATTATTATTACAGACTGTCACCATGCCTACATCTTAAACAGCAGTTCCCTGATAGAGGGCGTATATCTGATACAACCTGAAGACTACCCAGAACCATTTGCAGTGTACTGTCAGGTGACTGATACTGGAGTGTGGACAGTTATACAGAGAAGACAAGATGACACTGTAGAATTCTATAACGAATGGCAGGCGTATAAATGGGGGTTTGGTCAACTAACTGGTAACCACTGGTTAGGAAATGAGAAAATATTTTATATTTTGAGAAGTGGTGTGTATAAATTACGAGTTGATTTAGGGGACTGGGCGGGTGATACCACATATGCAGAGTATGATTTTATGCAGATTGGTAACGAAGAGAGTAAGTATACGCTGTCAATCGGTGAATATTCCGGTACTGCTGGGCATTCTATGACACATGACAATGGTATGAAATTTAGTACAAAAGATGAGGATAATGATTTAGGGTCAGGTTGTTGTGCATGTGATTCATATGGACAAGGTGCATGGTGGTATCGTGAATGTACTTATGCTAATTTAAATGGTCCATATATCAATTATAATGGTAATATAGTTAGACGTCATAAGTCAATTCACTGGCACCATTGGCATGGACTTTATCCACTTAAAAACACAACAATGAAAGTACAAAGAGTACATCCATACTGGGAATGATAGTCGTAATCAACATTGACAATGGATAGTATACCTGACATTAAAATGTACTAAACAAGATTGCCAGACTCCCGGGCATCTTCATCAAAACCACTGATTGAATGTTACTTTCTGTAATAATACTCTTGATACAATAGTTTTCACTATATACGCATTAGTTTAAGCATTTTTTAATGAAGTCACATGACGATACAGTATATAGATATTACAGGTATGTCATGAGCACAATGTCTTCAATAAAAGCACTGGTTGAATGTCTCAATTGACAATAGTGTTCCAGATATGATAGTTATACATTTTTAATGAGGTCACATGACCATATATGGTTATTAAATATGTTGATTAGATCTAGTGTACAATGTCTTCAATATAACACTGTGTGAATGTCTCCACCTGCAATAGTGCTCTGATATTAACATACAGCCACTAGTAACCACTGTATCCTCCACTCAAACTACATGCCAAGGGATACTGTAAAGGGGTTAATTATTCACTGGGTTTTAATTTAGCTTATTTCGCTGACTGGAAAAATGCGCTAAATTAAAACACAGTGAATATGTAAAATTTAGCATAGAACACATTATCTAAATGACGAAACCGTGAATTTAAAACCCACTGAATATGTCTGAAATGGTAAATCAGCGAAATTTAAACCCAGTGAAAATTAGTCATTTTACAGTACTAATTACTAGTAAGGCTTAATATTTTACTGAAATTATATCAAGTATGTTTCCATGGAAACAAACAAACAACTAACCACCTTCAATTCAGAAAAGCATACACAAATTTATAAACCTAATACATAAAATGGAACAACTAGTTGAGAGTTGTTGATTTCGCTTAGATTTTTAAATATTTTTTTCAGTTCAAGTTTGCAAGATGTTTATGATAATATAGGTACTGAGATGATAATGTCAATATTTGATTTTAAAAACTAAACAAGTCATTTTAAATTTATAGAACTGTGGATAGAAGACGTTGCTTCTATGTAAATATAGCTGTTTTTAAATTATTACAGTTATATCTGCAGTATAATTAGATTATGGGTAATATCACATTGATCTTCCGCACAATCTCAACCTGCTGTTGAATGTTTACTCAGACACAAAACATAATTCTTACATATATTATATATGCTCTATTAGTAGCACTTTGATGGTTAAATGACTGTTGTGTCTACAGTCAAAATAAGTCATATTTTAATGATCTAGCACACAATAGACTTCTTCTAATAAAAACGAGTCATTGTTAATGACACAATCCCCGTCCAAAATTTTGTGATCTGACATATCAATTTGATGCTGATGAAGTCATTGAGATTAGATTGAAACCATTACAAGAAATTTGGGCGTCGGTCAGCCATATTGAATCAAATCACAAAAATAATGTTGGTACAAATGTATCCCTTGGTATACTATCTTTGTACAAAATTTAAAGAGGAACATTATTACATTCAAGAGAAAGTAGTATGGGTACTATGAAAAACAAAATGGCCTCCAGTCGGCCATGTTTGTTTGAATCACGGAAAAAGTATGACGTGCACCTATAACCAAATATGTATGATCACCATACCAAGTTTGATCTAAATCAGCCAAGTCATCTGTGAGAAACAGCTCCGGACATGTAAAAATGACGATTTAGTGCTTTTACATGAAAATTGGGCGTCGGCCAGCCATATTGAATTGAATCACAAAAATCATGTTGGTGCAGATGTATTTCTTGGTATACTATCTTTGTACAAAATTTAAACAGAAACGTTCATTGCATTTAAGATAAAGTAGCATGGGTACCATGGCTGCCAGTCAGTCATTTTTGCTCCAATCATAAAGTAACTTGACGCACATATGTAAGACATTACCGGTATGTATTGTCTTCATTTAAAGTTTGCAAGAAATCCGTCAATGGGTGTCCGAGATATAGCTCCGGACGTACGTACGGATGGTCGAACGGAACCAACCCAAATTAATAGTTCCCATTTTTGGACTTTGTCCGAATGGGGACTAAAAATATGGTAAGGTAAACTGAATGAAAAGTTGGTGAAAACCATATTTTCTATGTCACGAAGTATATGCAAAAATGGATGTTTTCCGGGCAGTCCTTAGCTAGAGGGTCCTTATGACATGTCGCAGAAACAGCATTGTGAATCATTTTTTTTTTTAATAGAGCATATCCGGGTCCGGAATGGTGAAAATGTGCGATTTTGATGCATTTTCGGCCTTAAAATGGCCGCTATTCGGCTATCGTTAATCGAATCATGAAAAAAATGCATGTGCATATGTCCCATACAATGTGCCACTGATCTAATTTCGCAAAATACGTCAACATTGTACTGATTGCCTGGAAAGTTTCTCAGCCAGGCCAACTTGGTTTGCTATTTAATTTGATCTTGTGGCCTGGCAAATATGAAGTATATTGCTAGAAATGCATCATTTGTTGTCCATTTATATTCCTAATTACAAGAGACAGTGAAAAGTTTGCATATACACCAGTGAGAGCACATTTTTGAAGCAAGGAAACAATTTACTGGTCAGTTTAAAAAAAATTCTGGGGGGAGGGGGGGTATGTTTACTGAATTTTTGTCTGGGGGACATGTTTTTTCCGGGGGGTACATTTATTTAGAACTTTACTTTAGAGTTATAAATCTTGAGGTATGTTCGTGGCTGCATTACTGCTCTTTGTAAGTCGTGTATGTTTTGTTGTCAGAGTGTCAGAATGGTAAAAACAAAACAGGCTGAACCATGATTTGAAGAAGGCTTTTAGCAAGCCACTTGTCTGTCTGTCATTTTAGACATGTACAGAATTTCATTTGACATACAAAATTCCTACAAACCTACAGTCGCATGTCCACTGCTCCCAGTACGAAACTGCTACCTTTTGAGCCACGATGAAAAGTACCACTCTTAACGTTCAAAAAACGTTAAAGAATGTAAATACACATAAATACGTTACAATTAAATACATTAAAAAATTACGACATACCTTCTGTGTTTTTTTTATTTTAATACAGCTGACGATAAGTATGCACGCACACTGATACTAAAATCTGTAATTTAATTATACGTACGCCTATTTTGGGTCACATCACAGATGGTAAAACTTTCGGATTACTTATCTGAAGGTGTCAAGTTTATTTACCCACAAGACCAATAGATTGCATTTTGTTTCCAGACTTGAGATAGAGAAACTGTGCTGGTAAGGTTGAAAGGGAGATTGATAGAGAGATAGCAGTTTTTCTGGTCAGTTAAATTCAGTGCCTGCTGAAATGAGTGGACGTAATTGTTATGTAATAGTTCACTTGTAGCCATCTTATTTGCAATTGATGATGATACTTTTGAGACCAATGTATTTAAAAATATGTCCACCAACAGTGCACCCTCAAAGGAAATACGATGTGTTTCTAACACACAGGAATTTTTTTGAGATGCAACTACATTGTGTAGTTATTTTCATTTCTTAGTGATGCAACATAAAATCATGTTTTTACTATAGTTATGGAATTTATAATATAATTTCACAAACACAACAAGTGTAAAAACAAAAGTAATCTTGTGCCACAACATTTTACTCAGTGCCTCTAAAAGCTCCCAACATCAACGGACAATATTTAATATTTCTTGAAGAACTCTCTTTCCAGCAGTCACCAAGCTGGCCAAACATGATTTTTAAATTCCATTGCAACACAAAATCCCCCATGTCAGCAGGCACATTTAATTACACTGAGTTAGTAATTGTCTGCAGTAACGAATCGGAAGACGTTATTATACACTTACACAGATTCTGAGCTCTTAAAAGTACCATATGCCATACTAACCGTATTCTCCAATCTGCTAGCTGAAACTGTTTGTCTGCAACCACATGACAATAATGTTGTAATAAATAAGACAGTGAGAACTGTGAGAATCCCAACACCCTTGATGCTTGTCCCGTATCAAACATGTTCACCACGTAGATACCGAAGTCGCGTTGTAACCAACATACGTCCATATCAGCACCGTGAAATATCTGCAAAAATATGAATAACTTGGTTTGATTGATTATAGCATCACAACTAATAATTATTTTCTCATATTCCTCACACAGCTGACATACCAAGTGTTTTATGGGATTTTAATAAATTGATTCAAAATTACTTTTATCATTATTTTATGAATTATTCATTCATATAGTGTACATGTTCATTGAACTTCTGAGTGCCAAAGTCAACTTCAGGCAAAGTCAACTATTGCACATAATTTTTTGATCAAAAAATAAAAGTAATGTCTCATTTTGTCTATTTTGTCAAAAAATAAGATTGAATTCAAGGAAAATTACAGAAAATGTCAAAAAATTTACTCAATTTTAAGCGAGTAAAAAAAAGAGTTAATTTCAAAAAATTTGATCACAGATCGGTTGTCAATGTTCATGAAAAGGCTGAGAAAATACAGGATGACTGTTTTGAAGATATCACCATAGCAACAAGGAAGATGGCAGCAAGGAAATCATACATTCACAATACTATCATTACCTCACACAACATGTCTACTCACTTTAACTATAGATGGATTAGAGAATGACTCATTTAAAATATTCAGATCACTTCTAAGCTCTATTGTATCTACGATGTAATCCTCGTCTCTGGTTGATATCTGCATTAGACATGTGAAGCCCTGGAAACTCCTGTAGGAATGATGCTAGAAATAAGAAAGTATTAAAATTTGATTAGCTAATACCATTACTGTGTTACTCTCTTGCATTCGCTGATTTTGTGGTTCAAAATAATTATACAATCTGCAGAAAAATGTAAATGTTCCAATTTTTAATATGTATTCTTACTTTGTATGATCTGCAACAAAACTCAGTGACCTTACACTGACCTTACACTGACCTCACAGTGACCTTACACTGACCTCACACTAACCCCTATAAGCATAAAGGCTTTTGATTTTTTATGGTGCATGAGAAATTCTGAAATCCCATTTAGAAAACATCTCCTAAAATATGGCATTCAGTGCTTGAATATTTCCGGATTTATTGCCATACCAACTGATTTTATCATTTTTCATGGTGATCACAATAATCAGTGGGAGATGAGGTGTTAAACAGGAAGTTACATTGAATTATGGGAAACTAACATCAAATCACATGTACATTATTTGTGTACATTATTTGTAGCCTTTCAGGTCTCATGCCACTAATTAACTAATGGCTGCTCGTAGCCGTCAATTTAAATGCCTTGAAAGAACCAATGAAATTTTTTAAATATTTTTTTTCTCAGGTGCTTCCTGTTTGAGGGCGTAATCAAAAAAAAATTTGTAATTCGGTATATTTTTGCCCTAATCTTATTAATTGGCTGTGGTTGGGCTGTGGTCTGTAAATATAAATGTTTTTATTAAACTGGTCCAAAAATTTTATTCATTCATCAATGAACTATTTATGTAACCAATAATTTCAATTGCTCTAGGAATTCTGAGAAAAATGCTTAACCCCATTTTATGGGTTTTTTTGTCTTATTTTCACATTATGGCAGACAATATTAACAATTTGTAGTGCGGTCATTTCTAATGTACCCTATTCAAAGTTTAATGAGGTCAAAATCTCAAATGTTCAAATTAATTCTCAAAATTGTGTTGTGTATCTTGTCACTGACAAGAGATTTGCATACTGTCAGTATATTAGCCAAGTATTACAACTCTTTCAATTTCACAATTATTGCTCTTTTCTCAGAATTTTTGTGTATAGTTAACTAATTAATCCCATATTGAGTTTATTATTGAACAGTGCATGTAACCCCCCCCCCCTCCCCCCCAATTAATCAGAAATCCTGTTGAGTTTGAGCTGGCCAACATGTTAGTTTTTTTCATATGGTTGATTACTGGTATGTTGATTTCCCATTTTTGAGCCATGTTCTCAATATTCTTCGTCATTTTCATATAGCAATTTCGTCATATGTTAACATTGTCGTCTATGGAAATTCAATTAGTGGTATGAGCCCTTTTAAGCCTCACTTTGAGTAAAAACAAAATACGCCCTCAGCAGGTGGAATGAAACACATAATGAAACAATATAAAGTATTCCTTACTTCCAAATCTACAGCGAATTCTTTCTGTTTATTGAGGGTTTCACTGAGTGCCCGAAGTTCTTCAACTGTCTTTATCATATTCAATGGTGTATCGTTCAGTGATTTGTACATGACTGGCTCGCTGGATTCCATCTGAGATACGAGTGGTTGGAAATGATCCAGTTCATACTGGTACGGATGTGAAAAACTGAAATAAAGTTAAATCATAGTGCATCATTTCATTAGGCCTTCACTCAGCCTACAACTTTCTGCTGAATTTTAACTGACTTAACCATAGTGACTAGCTTTTAGATGGCTTCCAGACATTATAGCTTGAGTCAAGTGAAATATTGTAAAATTATTTGGCAGTCAAATTTTGACCAAACAAAGTGATTGAATTGCAGACATTGAGAGCTGGGAAATTGATACTGTTTATGGAAACATTTTTTTTTAATTCAAAATTTAAAATTCTATTAATTGTGTTAATACTTACATATCAGGAACATCTTCTGTCATTTGTTGTTGTCCAGTTGCCTGTCGTTGCTGGTGGATGAAATCTGATATTGCCGTCGGTGTGACATCATCATTCCGCTCTTCAGCTGGCACTGTGCATAGATATATCAATTATCAATAAAACAAAACAAAATTTCTTAGGGATCGAGAATCAAGAGGGGATATCAGCAGCACTATTTGTGTATGCTTACACCAGGTTTGCCAAGAAAGCAGAAATGATATCATTAACTGTTGACCCCCCCCCCCCAAATGCATTTCAGCACAGCAAGCACTGAGAAAAAAATTTGAAAATTATCAAAAAGAAACAAAAATATTATTTTCTGACTTATTCTTAGATATGAAAACTGTTGCCAAAATCGACTTTTTGTATAAAATTGCAATCAAACTATGTACAAAGTCTATTTGATTGCTGCTATAAGATCCGAAATTGAGTAAAGCGCCCTCTGGAGGTCAAATATCAGGATACATCAAGGAACAAGAAACAAGTATATGGTAACTGCATTCTAATTGGTTGATCAAATACTCATCTTTGTATTCCACGTCAGTGCACACTGGCTACAGATTTTCAAGAAGCTGTTTTCACCTATTGAATTAATATGTTGACTCAAAAACACACAGAACATTTTTTCTTAATTTTAAATAAAGTTTTAGTGCCAGGCGACAGTTCCGAGCATTGAATGTCACTGTCACTGTAATCTATCTTGAACCGTTTTTATGTACAAATTGCAAGCATGAATGTTGTCACAGAAGTCATATTTATGTTTGGGACTACATGACAGGGCTATGTGACCATATCTCTATCGAGTGACAATTTGCACACTGTAATGGTGTCACCCAGACCCAGTCAAACACCTGCAAACCTTAACCAAGGTTTCCCCAAAGTGACCTTTGTTAGTGAATGTATTGGCCTTCCCATTTAGTCTGTGGATCACTCACCCAGGGTCGGGGATTCAAACTCAGGTCTACCAATCATGAGTCTAATGCAACAACTACTGCGTGACCAAGGATCGGTTATTTCATTCCTAATTTCACAATTCCTTATTAACAATATTACTATTTATATTTATCAATACATCTGGTGATCAGGTGACATTTAACACCATTACAAAACTTTGTATTCAGAAGCATGAAATAATTTTAAAATAGTCCTAGAATGTCAACACAAACATACGCTTACCTCGTTGTAAAGGCTTGATGGCATTTGGTTTATATTTTAAGATTGGTACGAACGGCACGTTACTGTTATCCACTTTCTCTTTAAATTTCAACTGCGGTCGTTGGATGTTCTTCGCATGCAGCAGTTTAAAATCAGCGCCACCATGTCTTTTTTGAGACTGTAAGTAAAAAAATTGCCAGAAAATAATGATTTCTTTTATACACTAGGTTTTAAATTATGTCACTGAAATTGAGATATTTTTTGCAGGTCATTGTTGCAGCAGTGAACTTCCATGGCTCCTGCAATGAGTCAATCATAATTCACGTTCAAAATTATTTACCCAACACATTGTCCGCAATTATTGCCATTCAATTGGCTAACAACACAACACAGCAATACAATGAGAACACAATTTGATTTCGAGTCACACGATTTGACATTCATTCACCTTTTTTTCCTCTTTCATTTTGCAATGAATTTTGCATAATGAACTGTGTGAAATAAAGACAGCTAGCCTGGTACACATGGTAGTCATTACAGTACAACATTCAGAATTGAACTACAGTGGTCTCCATTGTATCAGCTGGAAATATTACTGATTTAGTCAAACATCCAAATTATGGTAAAAATAATCAACTTCACACCAAAATTCAGGCATTTCTATGCACACTTAAGTTAAATCCCACGGAAAACTGAAAAAAATTATCAAATTTCATTCATAAATGTTCTAATTGGAAAACTAGTAAAAATACAACAGTAACGTCAAGGTGGACTAAACAGTTGCCAAGTTGAATGACAAGCTTACCTTTCTGTTCCAGCTTGATATAACAATATTGTCTTTTGCACCAGGTGGTAATACAGGTTTGGCATTCTTATTAAATCCCGATGCTTCATCCAATAAAGTCCCCTAAATCAATATGAAACACACACGCAAAAAATGAGAGAGAGAGAGAGCGCGAGAGAGAGAGAGCGTGAGCGCGAGCGCCAGAGCGAGTGCGAGAGCGAGAGCGAGAGCGAGAGAGAGAGAGAGAGAGAGAGAGAGAGAGAGAGAGAGAGAGAGAGAGAGAGAGAGAGAGAGAGAGAGAGAGAGAGAGAGAGAAGAATTCACATTTATACTGTAATGTGTAATGGCTGATTAAATATAATTTGGGTTTCACATCACAATTAGAATTTGTACCACGGCTATGGGGGGGAGGCTTCTAGTCACATGACTGAAGTGCCCTCTTGTTTTAAAAGAAAAAAAAAATAGTAAAAGAGAAGAAATGATTGAATTAAAAAATGTTATAACATTATAAGCCTGCAAGTGAAATTTGAGTAAAAATCCACTGTTTTTGAAATGACGGTGCAACACTTTTAGAAAAAGTACTCAACCGAGTCGACTTTTTGCAATATTACCAGTACCGGCATGGTTGAATCTGCAATTTTGTTAAAAATTGCAACTATTGTGATTATACAGTTTACTATTTGATTTAAAAAAATAGACAAACCGTTTTTTGTTTTGTTTTTTCAAAAATATTAAATGCTTCACTCTTGGAATTCATGTGCAAAATAGCCATGCTTTTTCAAGTGTTTATATTGTCGTCTATGGGAGTTTATTTGTAGTATGAGACCTCTACATTTTCTAGGAATAGTTTAATTGTAGTAAGATTCCTGTACATTGTTGTCTATGGAGAGTTTGAATGAAGTAAGAGACCTGTACATTGTCGTCTATGGGAAGTGTAATTACATTATTGTCTATGAAGAGTTTACAGTAGTGTGAGACCTGTAAATTGTCGTCCTTGAATAGTAATTACATTGTCATCTATGGGAAGATTTATAACTGTAGAATGAAACATACAAGTTTTTATTGTAGTATACACTGCTCATTAGAGCTGCAATGGTTCCAGTTACTTACAACCCTCTCTAAGATAACATCGTTAGCTTCTGTGATCACGTCCAGTTTATCTTCAATCTCATAAGCTTTACTATCCTCTCTCACATTACCATGGATACCTTGGTGTCTAATAATTTGGGTTATGCTAAAAAACATTGAGAAAATTATAAGTTTTGGATAGTTATGATAAGTTTTGGATAGTTTCCATAAGTTCTGTATAGTTATGATAAGTTTTGGATAGTTTCCATAAGTTCTGTATAGTTATCATCAATTTTGGATAGTTATCATCAATTACATACATGTATATTTAACATAAGTTGCAAACTGATAAACACTGAGGATAGATACAATTTTATCATACTAGTACTTACTTTTCTAAAAGTCTGCTGCCTTGACTCTGATAGAATTGTCGAACTCCGCTAAAACTGGAATAAAATTCATAATCATCACCAGGAGATGGCAGTGCAGTGGACGATTTGATAGCTGATACCAATGAACCAAATGCTCGCTGAGAAGAAGGAAAAAAGAAATAACATACATTGTATACTGTTTTAATTTTACATATCTATGCACATCTTAGCCAACAATATAAGGTGTGTACATGTGTGGAGGGGGGAGGGGTTTACTATGATTGGAAAGGTGTATATTTAGCGGTTGCAACTGAAAACAATGCATGAAAATCAACACATTGTTTCTATGCAATAACTTATTATTTCCTACGAAGAAAATCAACAAAAAGTGTTATTGAAGCGTTATAAAAAAATTGCTATTAAAGTGGATTGGGAGTTACATTTCATAGAAGAAAGATTGGGAGATACATTTCAGATGGCCACAGATTGTGTTTCATACTTCTAAAATTGTGAACATTTTGACTACCATTAAGATTTTAAAAATGTCTAGGTTTACATTCTAAACAAATCTTACTGGCGACAAATTATCTGTATAATAAAACCGATTGTGCAGCATGTTAGGTCTTGGTGGCACACTTCTACCAACAATTCAAAATTTAGCATGTATGGGATTAATTATCTACCATATAAGATGACATACAATGATTGCTGCATACTTTGAAAGTCCAAGGGATAAACCTCAGTGTTTACAACAGAGTGATCTTGTCAGTGAATCAGCATCAGCTGATGATACAAGGGTCATTGCATCAGATGTCAAAAATGAAATCGTAATCCAAACTCTAAGGAGCCAATATGATGACAACGAGAGATGTCACGATTTTGTTTTTGAGTGCCAATGAAAAATTGGCCCATACAGGTTTGAACCTGCGAGAAAAGTACGCGGTGTGGGTGACCGTGTACCTTCCCCCCAAAATGACCGCGACGATTCAGGCACAGGCACAGAGCTCAGACTAGTAGTACTCGTCTACTTGGTACGATAAGAACTGATAACCTAAACAAACATGGCACGCATTACTTAAAAAGAAAACGCAGCATTGCAAGTCGGTTGTATTACTAGTCTGAGCACAGAGTTTAAACATCGTGACCAGCTTGGCAACTCAGATTAAAATGGGCACTGCAGATAACGTTATAAGGAGAAGGTCCATCCCAATATTTCCTGGTGTTCTTGACGGCTTTGGTCCACTGATGTCGTAAATTTGAATCATTTGGGAGCGCATAAAGACTCACACGATCGCCATGTGTGTTGCTACACCCGCCAACAACACAGCATTTCCCCATGATAATGATCATGGTAGCTCGTTGTATATGCTGGTTTACTAAACGCGTGCATATGGAAAATGGTAAACAATCATGTCTGCTAGCTATCTCCTGCTTTATGGTCCTGTTGGTGGCGCCATTTCGGCAACACTCGTAATGCTGAACAAATTTGAAGGTGACGGGAGAGAGGGGCGTGGCCCGATTTTGGAATATCATTGACTGTTTACCCAATTTATATATACATTGTACTTTTCAATTGATTTTTTTCATATTGTTGTTTATAAATAAATTTTGCACACAAAAAATGTCAATTAACCCAATTCAGTTACACTTTAAAACACGGTAGTCGTCACGCTGCGCATGTGCGAGATATATTGGTCTCATATAAACAAAGATGGTGACTTTGACTGTTGCGCAGATCAACAAGTACGAACTGACACGTTTCCAAGCTTTAATTAGGTAATGTTCATGTGATTGGAAGGTACATGTATCGAAGGAGTCACTGGCGATAATCAAACCTCATACTTGTGATTTCCATTTGAAGAACGCATTGGATTGTGGGAAAATCGATGTTTATCCACACAAATGTCGAACATGCGCAGCGCGAACTCTACGGCGCTTTAAGGTTATGACACCCTATGAATTCAAATCCACCATTCAAAGGTTGGATTTTTGTTAACTAACACACTCCACCTGGAAACTTAACTGATTTGACGTATACAGATGGGTATGTGAAAAAATTAAATATATCAAAAATATGACAGCTCTCGGAATTAAACCATCCAATTTTTTTCCAAACTTTTTGTCTAAATATGACCCCTCGGATTTAAACCATCCGTAGGTGCTTGGAGAAAAACTGGAATGACCCAGCACAGGAAGAGCTAATGGAGGGGGGGGGGGGTCTTTCCCAATGTAATAATAGTCAATATCAAATGATTATCAAATCAGAATTGTAGTAGATTTGATGAGTGTCCGATATAGCTGACTTCTATCGGTGAATAGCAAAGTGCCAATGAATAATATGACCCATGATTGGATGAACTTGATTATGCAGGATCTTTAAAAAATTATATAAACATTGTTTGCGTGTAAACACACTGTCAACCCTAGTGACGAACATATGGTTAGATTAGAATAGTAACACTTACCTGTGAAAAACTGTCGACATATGACTGCTCTCCAAAGTTAGCTTGTTTCATCGATGAGTCCGAAGTATCCATTTTCTCAGTTTTGTTAACGCACGTTTTCTTGACCTGCTCCGCCATTTTGAAAACGTCGTACACATGTGAGGTAAATCCAGAATCTACCGTAGAGGGCGATATGTAGGTAGATTTTTTGGGTTGAATCAAAAGTACTGACACTTGTATTCAAAGATAAATGTTATATAAAGTGTATGATACTTGAATAACGATGACAACTGTTGAACAATTCGAGACATTTCTGAAAACCCCTATAATCATTCTTTCATTTAATAAAAACTTATAAAAACAAAAGCATCTGATCAACCAGAGAGTGGGCGCTATTTATTTGCCGAAATGCATTTTGGGGAAAGCAGCCATCTTGGTTCACCGGCGAAGTGAAAAGTTGAGTGTTTGAGATATTCAAGCCGCAAAAAACACCATGCCTGACCATCTGGGGAACGACATGCGGAAAGTGAAGAAAGGTGAAAAGGAGGAGGAAGATAAACCGATTCAATGTAAGTAAAAGTGCGAAGATTTTCAAACACAGGATATGGAATTTGAGTGTGATTGGAGTTGCTGAGTCACACGCGACTGGGTCTTTTTATTTAGGTTTTAGACCACTAAACATATTTCTTTAGACTAACTTAATCGTTCGGCTGATTTCTCCTAAAAAATAGTTATAAGTGAGTCGTAAATTTTTTACCAGAAAAAAATGCGATACAAGTACAGCACACAAAAAACTGAAATATTCAGTCCTTCTATAATACCTACCTTTCTAAAGTACATCTCCAAATCGTGTCTCAGAGGAATAATGGAAGGGCTTGAAATTGCCTTGATGCCCTGTCTGGTTGCCTTGATGCTTTTCCGTACTTTCTTCACACACTTGATTATCAAAGTTCTTTGTAATAAATCTGAGTCATTTCAAACAATCCATTGAATTTTGTATTTTTGATTTCACAGCACTTGATGAGGGAGATATCGCACTCTTGAAGACCTATGTAAGTATTCAATTAGTAATTATTCAGTGATGGAGCTTAATTCTCTTAATTGTAAGAGTTCCTTATCATGTGGCCGTTAAAAAATAATTTGTTGTGTTACAGGGTGTAGGACCATATGCCAAATCAATCAAGCAAGTGGAAGATGACATCAGTAATATTACTAAAAAGGTCAATGAACTCACAGGTGAGGTAACATCCTAATTATTTACCTGATGGAAACCGAGCTATGGTTAAAATTTGCAGCGTTTTACCTGTGATGTAGTTTTGCCAGGTAAAGTGCTTTTAATAGCAATAGCCATTAGCCATCATAATCATATCCTTTTCTCATAGTCATTGCCCAAACTCATAAACACCAGGACCCTATTCAATTGCATATGATAATACATAAATATAGGTATCCTCATTTGGTGCATACAAGGTTTGTTATGGGGGGGTGAGCCATTTATACAATACCCTGGGGGGAATTAGCTATTCAAAATGATTACTGAAGTACCCCAACAAAAATGTTTTTTCAAAGAAAATGTCCATGCCAGTTTGTGAATATCACAAGTAAACAGAATGAATGCAAAATGTTTACGTGGCATTGGTGTACGATAGCATTTGCACAGTCTATTTCAAATCCTCGATCTGATTGAAGCTATGGTCTTTCAAACTACATGTACTACCAAAGAACATAAAAACCTTATCGTCAGAGTGTTCCAAGCGAAAAGTCTGCCATTTCTAGATCTAAAATCTTTTTGCATGTACGGTAACTATCTTTGTAGGAATCAAAGAATCTGATACTGGTCTAGCCAATCCGGCACTATGGGATTTGGCCGCGGATAAACAGACGTTACAAAGTGAACAACCGCTACAAGTAGCAAGATGCACCAAGATTATCAACGCCGACTCAGAGGACGCAAAGTACATCATTAACGTCAAACAGTTCGCAAAGTTTGTTGTAGATTTACATGACCAAGTTGCTCCTACAGATATTGAAGAAGGAATGAGAGTTGGGTAAGAACCTTTATACATTAGTTTCTTTTAAATAATATATAAACTGGGTAACTGGCTAAAATAATTGCTAGTCACGACTCATGGCTTACTTTAAAACCAAATTTATAAACTAAACAATAATCTCAGTTATTTTTGTGTTTTGTTTAAACAGGTTTCACTGTTCTTTTGTTGGGAGTTCTGAATTGTTAATAGATTCCTTTCACTATACAACGATCCACTGATGCTAGTATATCTTTTTGGTCAATCATCTATGATTAATTTCTAGCATACACTGCATTAAAAACTGGTTAATAGTATTTTTATTTCTCAAGATCTGTAGGATTCAAACAATATGGCTGTACCACCACCGCGACCAGTGCGGTTTTACTGAAACTAGTGGCAGTCTGGATAATGAAGTTGGTGATGTCAGACCAGGGTCTTGGTGAAACAAAGCTCTGTGGTGGTACTGCCACGTTGTTTTTATCCTGCAGGAAACACTGACTTCAGTCCAATGGCTTTCAGTTTAGCCTGCTTTCAATTACAGCATTTTGTTGCTATACCATAATGTGTTTATAACCAACCTGATTCCTCTTTATTTCAGAGTTGACCGAAATAAATATCAGATACACATACCATTACCACCTAAAATAGATCCAACTGTTACCATGATGCAGGTTAGTATACAGTTCATGAGACACTCGCCAATCTGCCTGACCTCAAGTATCTACATGGACTTATATTCTGAGAGGGGTCTAAAAATTAAAACCTTTAAAAAAATTAATACCTTTAAAAAGTCCATGGCTGAGAACACCCATGTGAATGAATAAAATCACCTTGGAGTATAGAATGGTACAGGAAAAATATTTGTTTTTCAAAAGATATCAAGGCTCCATGGGCATTAAGAATTGCCTTAAATGCCCAAGTGAAGTTCAATTTGCAACATTGCAGTTTATCAATTGGTCTGTAGTTAAATCTATTTGGCATTGAACATCTAAATTGGTCCACCCTGACCAATCATTACCCTGGGTAAGTGTGCCACACACTCAATGGGAAGACCAAAGCCACTAGCTGAAATTTATTCAGTAAACTGAGTTTACTTTCATGGGAAACTTGGGTTAAACACACAACTGCTCTATATAATGAGAATTTCAGGCAACACTACCACTACTAAGTTCACTCTGCTGTCATTTTGAATCATGCAAAATTATGTCTCGTTTTTTAGCTCCGCTGTCGACTTAGTCGAGCGGAGCTTATCATATGAGTGATTGTCCGTCGTCGGCGTCCGTGTCAATGTTTTACTTTTTCGACTTCTTCTTGAAAACTACAAGCCTGAATGCTTTGATACTTGGTGTACATGTACCTTGGGTAGACCTCTCTTAGGTTTGTTCATTTCATGTTGATATCTTCAATTCTCTAATTTTGGTGAATATTTTTGTCATTTTTGGTAAAAAGTGATATTTTCGACTTCTTGTTAAAAACCAATAATTCAATTGCTTTGATATTACATATATAGGTACTACATGTGGACCTCTCTCAGATTTGTTCATTTTGTGATGATATCTTCAATTCTCTAATTTTGGTGAATATTTTTGTAATTTTTGGTAAAAAGTGATATTTTCGACTTCTTGTTATTAAAAACCAAAGTTCAATTGCTTTGATATTACATATATAGATACTACATGTAGACCTTTCTCAGATTTGTTCATTTTGTGATGATATCTTTAATTCTTTAATTTTGGTGAATATTTTGTCATTTTTGGTAAAAAGTGATATTTTCGACTTCTTGTTAAAAAATAAAAGTTCAATTGCTTTGATATTACATATATAGATACTACATGTAGACCTTTATCAGATTTGTTCATTTCGTGATGATATCTTCAATTCTCTAATTTTGGTGAATATTTTTGTAATTTTTGGTAAAAAGTGATATTTTCGACTTCTTGTTAAAAACTGTAAGTTCGATTGCTTTGATATTACATATATAGGTACTACATGTGGACCTCTCTCAGATTTGTTCATTTTGTGATGATATCTTCAATTCTCTAATTTTGGTGAATATTTTTGTAATTTTTGGTAAAAAGTGATATTTTCGACTTCTTGTTATTAAAAACCAAAAGTTCAATTGCTTTGATATTACATATATAGATACTACATGTAGACCTTTCTCAGATTTGTTCATTTCATGATGATATCTTCAATTCTCTAATTTTGGTGAATATTTTTGTCATTTTTGGTAGAAAGTGGTATTTTCGACTTCTTGTTAAAAACTGCAAGTCCGATTGCTTTGATACTATACATATTGTTCATTTTCTTATGATGTCTTCAGTTCTTTAATTGAAATGTGCATTGCTAACAGCGGAGCTATCTCAGCCGATAGGCTGCTTGTTTTAGGTAATTATCATTGTCTATAATCCCTTAATAAGCGATAATTATTGACTTACAAAAGCACCTCCTATAACAATCGTAGTCAATAGTGGCTCGTGGCATCAATGTTGTTGCCTTTAAGGTCCACAAGTGCTTGTGTTTGACTAGACTTTGTTGACACCAATATAGCAAATCAAATTGCCACAATGCCACTATGATGGGAAGATGGTAACACAGCTCTGTCACATGCTCCATTTAAGCAAAATAATTCATTTTCTATTTTGGTTAGCAGTGAAACTCGCAGAGCAATCACATGGCACAAAAATGTTAAAACAGATCTACAATACAATGTTGTGTTTTCTAGGTTGAAGAGAAACCAGATGTGACGTACAGTGACGTAGGTGGATGCAAAGAACAGATAGATAAACTCAGAGAGGTTGTGGAAACTCCACTTCTACATGTAAGTGTATATCTTTATTCCGATCAGCTTACAGAGGTACCAATAGTTATAACTAAAGACTCAAATATTTTATTACTTGAGTAACTTCTCTCACAGGTTTGCCCTCTCTGACAATGACATATTTAAGCGAATACCGTTGATTTATATTATTACAACATATTAAATGATAATAACATGTTTACATTGACATAAATAGTTTAAAAGTACAATTTTATTAGTCCCCATTCGGACGCAGTCCGAAAACGGGGACTTGTGTTTTGACCTC